TTGGGCCTGGGTACTCAGCCCCTAGGTACCAGGATTTCACCTTATCTGACCGTCAGTACGGTGCCGGGCTTGTCCGGTGCTTACATCGTGGCTCGGCTGCTTTTTGAAACCCCCTTTGAAGCCTCGGTTCTAATCATTCTGCAGCTCTGCATTCCTATCCAAGCAAGCGCTGGATACATGCATGTTTATAAGTATCGTCCTTATACATATTTACATATAAGCACATGTGCATACAGATGCGTGTGCACGTGTCTCTTCATTCTATACATAATGCGACATTGGCCATCAGAGACTTCTCATACTGAGGTTAGACGCATCCAGGAATAGGATGATCGAAGCCAGTTTGGGGTTTTTCAGGTTCTGGCTCCTTTAAGACTTTGCCAGGCAGTCTCGCTGCGGCTGCAGTTGTTCGAATTGCTTCTAGTATGGTTGTTGCATATACGAATATCGAAACATCAACAATACTGGTCTTGAAAGCGGCAATGGTACTAACAGTAGTGACAACAAAAAGATAGTACCAATAGTAATTAAATGATAGCCATAGTCTTGATTTCTCTGCCGTTTCCCTGTCCAGAGCCTACCTCCCCAAACCCGAGCCCTAAACACAATGAGCTTTCGTTTCCACCGCCTGTCTCTGACTTTATGGCTCCGCGAGCGGATGATGCTGGAGAGCTGTTGCGGGGCAGGGTCAAAAGGAAGGGGTTTAGGGACAGTTTAGGGTTTAGGGAGTTTCTGGATTTTGAAGCGGTGAGGACACTGGGGTTAGGAATTACGGTTGTGGGTTTGGTGTTCTCCGGTTCCATGCCGGCATTCGCCAAAGAGAAGGTTCTACGGATCCTACGGTTTCATGGTGTAGGATGGTCTAGGGCAACCCTAGAGAGGAAGGGAGTGGGGCAACATGCCAGAGCTCAAATTTCAGAGATGTAACTCACCCCGAGTCTTGTATAACTCCGCACCCTAAGTGGCATGCAGGTGCATCAGCAACTGGAAGTTGCATTTCTGCTGATTCAGACTTAGAGTCAAAGCTGCAACATGCAGAGGGCATAGACCTGTAAAATACATTTCTGAAAAGCCCACCCCCCCTCCACCCTCAAAACAAGCAGAAAAACGCTCCCAATGTTTCTGAAACCCCACCATATCGAGAAGGATCTTGCCTGCAGCACACTAAATCCAAAATGCCAAGCCCCATTCTGGTGGCCGACCAGGCCGAAGGGAAAAGTCAGGGTTCCCCGATTCCCGGCTCTCGCGCAACAGCACTCCAGACCCGCAAGGCGTGGTGGGCAGTTTCGAGGGGAAAGGGGTCTCACCCTTCCCGTCCACTGAGTTTCCGAGCCTCTGGTTGGTATACCCTCGTGCTTGCTTAGGTAATAGAGGATCTTGTCGTTAGTCGGCAGGCTGGAGTTGTGGAAAGTTTTTCTTGGAATGCTACGCAGTCTTCTATGGTTGTACGTGTCGCCATACGGTTCTCCTAACTCTGATGATGCAATCAGGTGGTCATGTGAGGCAGATTCGGCGTCTGGTCCGGCAGAATAGACAGCATTACTTACCTTTGGTTCCAGGGGTGCGGGTCTGGCGCCTGAAATGATTGAGAAACGTGGTTTCAGATCTTCCACTCGGGTGGAGAAACTTGGTGGCGCGAAGCCCTAGGTTCAAGGGTTTAGGGTCCAAACCCATCTGGGGCTCCTGCAATACTGCAGCCGTTCAATGCCGACGGCTTCTTCTAGCTGCAACGGACAGCGCTGTGCCGACGGGCTCCCCTAGCCAGACCCCCCCCCCAACAAGGGTACGGTTCCAGGATGTAGAGCTTGGGTTCGAGATGAGGAAAGCTTGACTCTAACCACGAGATCCTGTAGGATTTTTTCTGCAAGGTATAACCCTAAACCCCTAAACCCTAAACCCTGGGGCACAAATCACACTTTCCAGGCTTGCTGCTGGTCTTTACCGCGTTGACCTAGGATTGCACCGGAGAGATTTCCGATGTGGTTGCTTCTTTGAAGTCTTCACAAAGTGATATAGTAATACCAAAATCACTTTTCGATATTATCATGTATTACGTTAATGTTATGTTATTATAGAACATAGAACAATATGTATACATATATATATATATATAGATATATATTACGTGACCTATGATATATGATATATATATATATATATACATATATATATATATATGTACATACATATACATGTATCTATAATATAGATACTATACATACATATACAATACAGACAATATTTATCCATGTATTTACCCTCCCCGGAGATGTTGGCTCAGCATGTGGATTGCAGACACTGGTGAGCCTTTGAGCACCCAATGCTGCGGCAAAATGCGTGCTTACGCTTCATCCGTCGTGTTCTGCTAAGTCGATAACCTCTTGAAGCATCAAAGCCTAGCTTAATTTCACGGGTCCACCGTCTCATTCTTTTGGAGTGTTTTGACAGGTCCGAGGCCGTACTTCCAGGATCAGACGGCCCAAGATTAGGGTGGCACTAGGACGATCAGCAAACCCTAATTGCTGTGTTTCTCCAAATTAGGGTCCCCTCTTGGATGAGGGCTTCGATATATTGTGGACTTTTCTACATGGCATCCATTCTTGGGTCCTGTACTTCCTGAACCTCGGAAATTGGGATAGCATGTCCAAGGGTCAGAGCTGTATAGCAAGGCTGCTAGCGCTTCTGACACGTATTTCGGTACATCTAGTCTGGACATGCGAAGAAAGATATCGATCATTGTAGCCATGGTCGTCGTCATGCTAGAAATCCTGACAACAGCGCCGCTGTCGGCTTCTCGCGGTAAATCACGAGTGTCAGGTTTGAAGAACAGAAGAGCCGGTCTTGCACCAAAGTGGTTCGCTGAAAGCACAGGGGAAGCGCTCCCACAGAAGATACTCTTGCACAAGTAGCTCAACATGTCCATCCGCACCTGAGTGACTCGCGCACACATGGTATATGATCTCTCATACGACACATATATATATATATACATACATACATACATACATATATATTTATATATATACATGTACATACACATGTGCATGCATAGCTCAGGCTGCACCTACGCAACGACCGTGTGCCGAGGTCCCTTGCTGATCGGCCTGCAGTGGCCCACGCCACGGACCTTGAGGCCCAAGTATAATCTCTAATCTACCCATAGGCCCCAAAGTAGTTCCTTTTTTGGGGTTCATATTTAGAATCCTATAAGGTAATCCCAAAAAGGAACTACCATGGGTCCTATGGGTAGGGTCACACTTTCGTTCAGGATGGACAGCTCTACGGGATACAACAGAGACCCTGCATGACCTGAAGTCTTGTTCGGACTTGGTTCTGGACATGACGTTTGTTTCCTGACCAGGAGAACGAGACAGAAGCCGGTGAGAACGTCTCCGCCAACCGATGCTGGGGTGACTATTGTAGGAGTTTAACCACCTTTGGACAAACTTGTTTTCCCACCAAGGTGCGGTATGGTTTGTGTAGCAAGGTATGGCAGAAAGTTGCTGCTTGCTGCCTTCTTCAGCAATCAATCTAATGCCATAAGGCTACGTGGCACAATGGCCATGCGATCTTATATCCTACATCGACGGCCACATGTTGTTTGTCCCCACCCCCCTCCTGCTCGTCGTTTGCACATTCGCAGGTGGCCTTCTAAACGAAGGCTCCAACACCCTCCCTTAGTGCCCGTTTTCGACGCGCCTCAGGGCTCTTGTGTCTCTTCATTGGTCTTTTCGCCCTGTTGCCCATTTGTCCGCCTGCTTGCCGGCCTGCCTGCTACGACCAGTTCTAGTAGCATAGTCGGATGCAATCTTCGTCCTTATCGAAGTCCGGAAGTAACGTTCCCTCAAAGCCCTTGACCTGGGGCCCTTAATTCCAGGCTCTCGTGAAGTTGGCTAAGCTTGCAATAGGCCCAACAGCACCTACTCGGACCAACTCGTCAACCCGGAACCCGTCCGAACCAAAACACCCTAAAGGCTCTAAGCACACCTCATCTGACAGAGCCCCAGTTGCGAGAGCGTAAACCCGAAGGCCCTCCAACCCCAAACCTTTATGAAACCCTCGAGAGCAAGGAAGCAACCTCACCATGAATCCAGTGGAAGTGCCTTGGTGCTTGCTTACATCTTCGACTGCCGTGGGCATTAGAGTGTGTCGAGCTATCCACTCGACACCTGTCTTCCCAGGGTGTGGGATGATGTCACCTAGCGTCTGAATCACCTCCATTCTGCCGGGCTTTCCGCCTTGTTGCCAAGAATGGGGCGGAGAATGCGGCTTAGACCTTCCGGCATCAAAGTGCGAACTAAGGACAACGACACGGAAGCAGATGAAAATGGTTCTGCTTATCGCGACTTGGAGCAGATGTGGTGGCGATGGTTTCTTGCAGCAGTGCATTGCTTGGCGGCGACACGCAAGAGTAGCAGTTGGAGTTGTTAGAATCACAGCCATGTCAGATTTCTGGATGTGCAAACAAAACTCGCTATAGGCTTCCCGCTGTGTCAGGTAGCAACATGACTGCCGATGACCCAGGAGGGAACGGGAGCAACATGACGGAAGACTCTGAAAGTCGCATTTGGCAAGGGCTGTGGAATGTGGTTTGGAGCTTGGGGCTCTAACGGTTTAGGGCCTTTGGGATGTTAACCCTGCTAGAGTCAACCCGAAGTCGCAGAAGCTACCAGCCGAAGGAATCTCAAAGAGTAACGGTTGATGCTATAAATCCTGCATTATCCACAATAAGGAATATACCATAGTTTCCCATAGTTTAGGGTCCTTAAGGTAGTGCAGGATTTATATCATAACAGAAGTTTTTTCCATAGCCCGGAGGAGGGCTGCCAAGGTTTAGGACTGCTGGGATCTTGTGCTCCCTTAACCCTTAAGTCCCAAACCAAGGTTGAATGACAACGATCTAGAATCTAGAGGGTCTAGGTTTAGGGTTTGGGGGTTTAGGGAGAGGTCTATGGGCTTCTATAAACGTCTTCAGGAAGTGTCAGGTTCCAGGTTATATGATGTAGAGAAGCCTCAATCCATGGGAGTTTTCCTAGATGAACGTTGCAGGGCCGGGAAGTCTGAATCCCAACGCATCCTGACTTGGCCTACAGCTGATCTGCTTCCGGGTGCAATTCCAGTTTAAATTTAGGGTTGGCTGGCGCTGATGTTCCGAGGAACCATCTGTCAACGCGGATCCTGCTGGTCTGGAGATCTGGCTGACGAATAAGACGCACAAGCACGTCAAGCTCACCTTCTGCACAAGTCAGAGCCCTGCTGGGCCTAAATTCTGAAGTTTGGAGCCTTGCCCTTGGCTGGCGAAAGGTAGATAAGGAAAAGCTGGTGTTAATCTTCACGCCTTCAGCCTCGAAGCTTGTGAGTTCTGAAGACAGCTCGGAACAGTGTAGAATCCATGGAGGGCTGTAAGAAGCTGCAAGCCAGAAAGCTGAAACCTTGAAGAAACTCAGCGGAAGTAATTTCCCGGATTCGTCCTTGGCCGGATTTCTTGCAATCCGGCGAAGCTTCCCGAAGCACTTGGCGCAGAAGCAAGGCTGCCACCCCTTCCTGTGGATCCCATGACCGCTACCTTCAGCTTTGTGGCGGAGTCAGACGCTGTGCGTTTCACGAGGTTTCTACAGTTTTGTGCCCTGTAGACTGGTTGTAGGGCCATTGTTGGGGGGTAAAAGGGGATAGTTGTATTTCGATTGGTATTTTCGTGAGACTACGGTTCATAACCGCCATAGTATCATTGGCAGTGTCATAGTATTAACCACCACGGCAACATTAAGTATGAGCAGCTCGCATGAAACAGTACAAGATTAACCAGGCTAATGATCAGTTCCCTTGTAGCCCGTTGTATTCAAGCTACAAGATGCCCTTCTAAACCGTATGCTAAGTATGCAGGCCCCTTCAGATGCTTTCGCGGGTGCCAGCCTGTGGCTTCTGCTTTTGCTCACCGGGGACCGGCTGATTGTAGGATCGGGGAAAGGTCCGTCGGCTTAGTTCCGAAGACCTGACCATGAAGTTCTGAAGAGACCACCTTCATGGAGGCTTTGAAGAGATGTCTGAAGACAGAAACAAGAAACAGTAGGCAACACCCGCAAACCTGCATGAGTTGAGGGTTTAGGCTAACGGGCGTTGTGGAAGCCTATCTATAAGTGTCTGGGGCTGGATGGGTTAAACTTTCGATACTTCGTTTCCCAGGAGCCCGCATGTCACATCTTCGCTCGCGACGCCCGCCAGTATTCTCCCAGGACACCATTTACACCATAACATCGTTGAGCCTGAATGACACGATCTTCCGAAGCGAGCCGGCTGAGGCCGGTACCGGAAACGTCACCCGGAACAGGGCCATCTAGACAGTTTAGGGTCTTCAGAGGCTTGGGGTCTGTAGAGGGGTGTTGAGGTGGTCTATTTGTGCTAGGCTTTTCAGTCATATGGGGCCCAAGTGTAAAGAGCATTGCATTTTCGCACATTCGTTTCCGTTGGATGTTATGAGTCGCTCCATCATTGGTAAGTGGGAAGCTCGCAGGAAAAAACTCTGCAGAAAGCAGTTTATGTGGAGTGAGAGTGCTTTGTGATAACACCCCCTGCATGTAGTCCCCCTCGTTAAGGCTCTTACCAGGCTGTTGCGCAAGCCCTGAGGCAACAAAGGCTCTTGCACGCACTGCGCCCCAGTACTCCAGACCTTCGACCTGAAACCCCACCCTGCATTAGGGTTTGGGTGGGAGAGATTTGGGTTTAGGGTTTAGGGTTTAGGGTGGGAGAGATTTGGGTTTAGGGACATACAATCCAAGCCCGTGCTCAAAAGGGCTTCCTTGCATGGCGAGAGTCACTAAACCCTAAACCCTAAACCCTAAACCCTAAACCCTAAACCCCAAAAAACCCTAAACCCCCTTTCGGCTCAAGTTGGTTCAGAGACCCAGGTAAGGACGGGTCTGACAAGGCTAAGGCCGCTTGGGCCCACGGGGCCGGGCGGTGCCCGGGCCCAGCGCTGAAGTCCGGGCCAGAGTCTCGGGGTTCTTGGTGTTTTTTTTGGGGGTTTAGGGTTTAGGGTTTAGGGTTTAGGAGGTGGGGGTTGTTTGAATTCAGGCAATTGCACAAGTCCTGCTGCAACGAAGGGTTTGGGGCTTTAGGGTTTAGGCACAGATTTGATTTTCTTCACTGGCTCAATATCGGTTTGCTGCCAAGGTCTGCGGTCTTGAGTCTCGATCGGACATGAAGCGCGGTATATCCCGCATTGGACTGGTGGTCATATGGGAGTTTCCGAAAATTAGGGGTACCTTATTTAGGGGTCCTTATAATAAGGATCCTACTATTTAGGGTGCTATATTAGGGGTCCCCTATTTTCGGAAACCCCCATATGCGTATACATGCACATCTATGTACAGAAGCCGAAGGAAAGCGTAAGCAGGCTTTGCAGCTAGCGGCGTGTGCCCGTGCTTATACTGGTTTGCTTGCACGTACGTTTTTATGCTGCGCGTCCTCCGTCCAGATTCGTTGTGGGAATGATGGGACATTTGCACGCAGTCATGCATGCATGCATGCATGTCCGTATGTACGTACCTATGCATACAGTGTAGACACACATCGACCATCTATCTATGTGCCTATCTATCTACCTATATAGCGATCTATCTGTCTACTATCTATCTATCTATCTATCTACCTATCTGCGTATCTATCTATCTATCTATCCATCTATCTATCTATCTATCTATCTATCCATCTGTCTACCAACCTATCTATCTACCTATCTATCTATGTATCTATCTATCTATCTATCTATCTATCCATCTGTCTACCAACGTATCTATCTACCTATCTATCTATGTATCTATCTATGTATCTATCTATCTACTTATCTATCTAGCTATCTATCTATCTATCTATCTATCTATCTATCTACCTCTATCAATCTAAGTATTTATCTATCTATCTATCTATCTATCTATCTACTTATCTATCTAGCTATCTATCTATCTATCTATCTATCTACTCTATCTATCTATCTATCTATCTATCTATCTATCTACCTCTATCAATCTAAGTATTTATCTATCTATCTATCTATCTATCTATCTATATATCTATCTATCTATCTATTTGTCTATCTATCTATCTATCTATCTATCTATCTATGTATGTATTATCTATCTATCTATCTATCTATCTATCTAACTATCTGTTTATCCATCCATCCATCCATCCATCCATGGTTGTCTGTCTGCCTGTCTGTCTTTCTGTCTATGCACTTAGATATCTGTCTATCTATCCATCTATCTATCTATCTATCTATCTAACTATCTGTGTATGTATGTATGTATGCATGTATGTATGTATGCGTATAATATGTGTATGCAAATGCACAGTTCCATGTTTACGCATCTGTGTATGTGTATGTATATGTCTATTCCTATGTCTATGTCTATGTCTATGTCTATGTCTATGTCTATGTCTATGTCTATGTCTATGTCTATGTCTATGTCTATGTCTTCGTTTATGTATGGTATTCACCCGGTTTCGTAACCGGGTGTCCGCAGAGTATGTCCGCAAACCCTGCCGGGATGTTCAAGCGATTATGTCCAAATGACTCTCTTGCAGCTGCAAGCATGCAAAAATCACAACACCTCAGCGCCTGAAGCGTGTAGGTGACATGTACAGTCTGTACAGTCGTCAGGCTTGAGAAAGCTGTCGTCATTGAGAACCTGCGTCTTAGGCCTCGCATCCTATACGAGCCTGGGTAGAAGCAAGAGCCTGTGCTCACCTGCTTGAGGCCTGGGAGGCATGGCGAGTGTACGAAATGATGCGCTGCACAAGCGCAGCTTGGGCAAGTGTTTACTTTCGAGGCTTTCTCTCCACGCTTTGGAGACATGGCTTCTTCTGCTAGTGCTCCAACGTTGACATTCCTGGGTGAAGTCATATTCGTCCCCTTCCCCCCTGACCTAGCTTTTATCAGCCTTCTGCTTGGCTCCGCCGATGAAGAGGCCTGAACTGGTGTTCGGGTGCTCTGTTCGTAGCCTAGCGTGAGTCAGCTGCGATTGCGTGCTCTTTGTGCTTCCCGAAGCCGGGGTCACTCACCTAAACCCTAAACCCTAAACCCTAACCGTGCACAAACCGTCCCGAAAGTCTAAACCCAAAACTCCAAGCTCGCCGAGGTGTCGTGGAGGGCAGCTACAACTTCTATGACAACCACCAGGGCTGTGGGACGGCCGCGGACAAGGAACGCCGTCGTATGGTTTAGGGTTTTGGGGTTCACGGTTTAGGGTGCAGTCCCTTTTTTCAACACGGTTTAGGGTGCAGGGTAGCTGACATCAAGAGTCTGGGTTCTGGAAGAGGGTCCCGGGCATGACTGTGGGTGTAGGACTTTAGGACTCAGGGGCTCGAAGCGTTTGGAGGTTCTGTTAAAGGTGTGTCTAAGAATGGGGGCCCTTCTCTCTATATGAGCCCTGGACTTCAAACTTCAGTCTCAAGCATCGGACACAGTTAAAGCTGGGAGCCCTCTAGAATCCTTCAAGCCGAAGGCCGCACAGCCCCTGTATCGATACCACCCCGAAACCTCACCAGTCTCGAAACCGCATGTTGGTATCCCCTTAGAGCCCCGGCCACTCCAATACCGTATCTCAAACCATGTCTATCTGTATATCGATTCAAACACCATCAAATCCCCTCGGTCCTGAACTCCTCAACTCCTGTAGGCCGCAACTCGCATCCCTAGACCCCAAATCCCCAAACCTGAAAATCCTTGAACACCGACTCCCAAACCCCAAAATCCGCAAAGCCTAAATCCCTAAGCCTAAACCTTAAAGCCCTACAGCCCCAAACCAGCAAGTGGAACGGAGGCCCTGGCGGCACGACTGGGCGGCCACAGCGGCCTGGCCCAGTCTGGAAATGGTGATTCGGGATTTTCATTGTTAGAACGTGGTTAAGGTGCTAGAATAAGACATACGTGCACGTATACACAACATCAACATATTATCAGACTAATATCTATATCTGTATATATATATATACACATACATGCATACCTATATATATATATATATGTGTGTGTGTGTGTATACACACATGCACACACACACACACACATATATATATATATATAGACATACATACATACATATATATATATATATATATTTACTTATTTATTTATTTATAATATCCACATGCATGCATACATGCATGCTTGCATACTTACATACCTACATAGCTACATACAGACATACATACATACATACATACATACATACATACATACATGCATGCATGCATGCATGCATGCATGCATGCATGCATGCATGCATGCATGCATGCATACACACATACACCCACACACACCAAGACTACATGGGGCTTTAGGGGAACCTGATATATTGTTCAGACACCCGCATTCCTGCTTTTGGGAGGGCAGGGGATTTCTATTGGGTCGAGGGCGGGTTCTTTCCGTGCTTTGAGCTGCTCGGGCTCAGAGTCTCCTTCCCTTCGGAGGTTACGGACTTCAAAGCTAGTTTTGGCTGAGACTGATCCTTTAGCTCCGGGAGTCTTTGCATCTCGGAAGAAAGGCCCTGAGCTATAGGGTCTGCAATGCATTATACATCTTGCCGCACTGATGAAGTATTTTCAGACTATCTCTGGTTTCCGAAGCGATTGGGTCGTTCTGGGATCACCGGCCCTGTGCCAGTCCCAGCATGGAGCTTGTTCAGTCGAACTTATCCAAACTAAGTTCATACCAGAGCAAACAATAGCTCGGGGAAATAACCAATGGTAGCTGCCGGAGTTTACTGCCCGCTACCGTTGAGCCGCGCTGCAGGCTACAACATCCTCAGTCGCCTGGCATGTGCTTAGCGCTGCCTGCCGGAGTACGTGTGGCGCCTGCATGGGCATAGAATCATCCGTTGCTCGGGTTGTGGATGGTGAGTGTTCCATCGTCCTGTTGCTGTTGGCTGAGGCGGCAAGGTCGCTTAGCTGCACGGCCTCGGGCGGGGGGAGGGCTGGCGCCTTCAGGGTCTCTTTTACGAAGTTGCTGCCTGCACTACGCATATGCACAACCGACAGGCCCGACAGGCCGCGGCTTCTTCACCACAGTCGTGTATGAGTTCCTACCACGCAACAGCACTTCAAAGCAGTTGGGAAAGATGGTATAGAGAGGGCCGGCTGTAAGAGAGCTCAAATGGGCTGTGGTTGGCATAGTGGTGACTTCGACAGTGTAGGACCACCTTTTGCGGTGTCGAGCTTGAGTGACACTACTTGCGTCAAGCTTTAGCCCAAATACATGACTTTTGCCTGGAGTTTGCCCTATGTCTCGGTGCAAGGAACA